ACTTTGAGCGAGAGCACTCAGTTAACTGGAGGATGGAACATTTTATATGTCGTTGCCACTCTTTGCATATCATGTATTTTGTTCTTTTACCATGTTTGTAAAAAGTAATTTCCTTAAATGTTTTATGTGAGGGAATGGAAAATAGCTCAAAGCTAAATCTGGCACTGTTACGCTTGACACATTTAAATGTTTTAAGTGTTCATTACAGTGCATTGTCCCTGTCAAATAAACGATTAAATAAAATAACCAATTGTGCACCGTGAGAGGGGAGCGAAGACACTCTCCTCACTAGCACTGTAGCAAGTTAGCTTTGAGCGAGAGCACTCAGCTAACTGGAGGATAGAACAGGAACTAATTGTGAGCTGTGAGAGGGGAGCGAAGACACTCTCTTCACTAGCGCCGTAACAGTTAGCTTGAACGAAAACACTCAGCTTAACTGGACGATAGAACAGGTAAGGAAACAAATGTACGTAGTGAGAGGGGGGCGGAGACGCTCCCTTCACTAGCGCCGTAACAGTTAGCTTGAATGAAACCACTCAGCTTAACTGGACGATAGAACAGGTAAGGAAACAATGTATGCGGTGAGAGGGGGCGGAGATGCTCCCTTCACTAGCGCCGTAACAGTTAGCTTGAACGAAAACACTCAGCTTAACTGGACGATAGAACAGGTAAGGAAACAAATGTATGTAGTGAGAGGGGGGGCGGAGACGCTCCCTTCACTAGCGCCGTAACAGTTAGCTTGAACGAAAACACTCAGCTTAACTGGACGATAGAACAGGCAAGGAACCAAATGTATGCAGTGAAGGGGGGGGCGGAGACGCTCCCTTCACTAGCGCAGTAACAAATTAGCGAGAGCCCTCGGCTAACTTGTACACAATTATCTCATTAGCTTGAGAATAGATAGCACAATCAGCGATAAATGGTAGGGATCTCACCGGCTGACGTGCAGGAGCGTCCGCTCTTTACCGGTCCGGAGCTCCTGGGGTCCGAGCGGTGAACACCGCGGTCCCCTCCCTTGGGAGGGCGGACAGCTCGTCGCAGCCTTTGGAGGGCGAGCGTTTCTAGCTCGCAGCTCCGATCGAGACGATCGCAAGGCTACAGGCGATGAGCTAGAATTTTCAATAAGCTAGCTTGGCTTCTACTCATAAAGTAGTAACCTGCGCAGCGAGAAGATGAAAAAGAACTGAACTCGTTGACAACACCGGAACTTATACCTTCCGGGGTCATACGAGGTCACACGTGACTTTGTTGATATAAATATTCGACCTACGCATGCGCGAGACAGAAGATATCCAGTGCTAAAGCACCGCCTCTGGCGGTCAGTAAGTATGAAATAGAACTATTTTGGCCTCTGACATATCCTTAAATGGTTATAATGTGTATCGTACCGACCGGCCTAATAAAGGTGGTGGCGTTGCCATTTATGTTAAGAATAAGTTCAGTGTAACCACATTGGTTTCCAAATCTATCAGTAAGCAATTCGAATTTTTAGCCTTAAATATAGAAGTGGCAAAGGGTCAACTGGTCATGGTGGTGGGCTGTTACAGACCCCCCTCAGCTGTCAAGGACTCCTTGTCTTCACTAGCAAATCTTTTATCGCAACTAGACTACAAGGAAATAGTGCTACTTGGTGATTTGAACTGGGACTGGTTAACTGCAGTATCAGAGGATTTAAAAAACCTTTGTATCTCATTGAATGTTACTCAGATTGTTGACAGTCCTACTCGCCCTAACATTAAGTCCCCTAATAAATCCTCCCCAATTGATCTCATTCTAACTAATGTTCCCTATAAATACTCATCTGTGGGAGTATTTGCGAATGATATGAGTGACCACTGTGTTGTAGACACAATTAGGGACACTAAGGTCCAAAAGGTTAAACCTTGTATTATCATTAAGAGAGACATAAAACATTTTGTGGAGCAGGGTTTTGGACATGATCTGTTTGGGTTTGATTGGGGAAAAATCGATCTGTGTGCTGATGTAGAACTGCATGGTCTTATTTGTATCTTGGTTTTATGGAGATCATTGATAGACATGCACCCCTACGTAATTTTAGAGTAAAGGGACGAGACAATCCTTGGTTCTCTGCTGAACTGTCCAGTCTCCTGCATGAGAGAAACAAGGCCTGGGCAAAGGCTAGGAAATCAGGCTCAGAGGTAGAATGGCTGCGTTTTAGGCAACTAAGGAATAGCTTCACTTCACATGTCAAAAGTGCTAAGTCGAAGTACTATTTGTCAGTTACCACAGAAAACCTAAATAATCCTAGGAAATTTTGGAAAGCCATAAAATCGATATCCACCGGTGAGATCCGTAATGAGCTACCTCCGTGCATTACCACAGCATCTGGCTCTATATCGGATAGGGCCACCATGTTAAATTGTTTTAATGAGCATTTTGTGTCCTGTGGCTCTCTGTTTGATTCTGTGACTAACTCTGCTTCTGTGAACACCCCAATCCGTGACTCTGAACAATGTGGTCTGGAAAACCCTTTCAGTTTTACTCCTTTTACTGTAAATGTTGTTCATGAAACATTATCTAAGTTAGATCCTAAGAAACCGGCTGGCCCGGACAACGTAGAACCTTTCTTTTTAAAGATAGCTGCAGATTTTATTGCTCCACCTCTCACTTCTCTTTTTAACCTCTCCCTCAGCACAAATGCAATTCCAAAAGTATGGAAGTCAGCTTATGTCCTGCCTTTACTGAAAGGAGGGGAGGCAACTATTTTAAATAACTATAGGCCAATCTCTAAATTGTCAGTTCTGGCTAAGGTTCTTGAACGCCTAGTGAGTGAACAGGTAAAGGAGTTTTTATGTAAAAATGATATCCTGTCTAAACATCAGTCAGGCTTCAGAAAGAAACATAGCACCATCACTGTGACAATGAAAGTGGTGAATGATATTACAAGTATTTTAGATAAAAAGCAGAGCTGTGCAGCTCTATTTATTGACCTTTCCAAAGCGTTTGACACCGTCGATCATCGCATCTTAAAGCAGAGGCTACTCAGTATTGGCATATCCAGCCATGCAGTGGGGTGGTTTGTGAACTACCTCTCTGAAAGGTCCCAATGTGTTCACTTTGATGGGCTGTCTTCTGAGTGGTTGAACATTGCTAATGGTGTTCCTCAAGGTTCTGTTTTAGGTCCACTTTTATTCTCCATCTACATCAATAGTTTAGGTGAAAATGTGGATGAAGCTACTTTGCATTTTTATGCGGATGATACCGTGATGTACTGTGCAGGTCCCTCGATTAAGGAGGCGGTTGTTAAATTACAGGCTGTTTTTAACATTATTCAGACTCAGCTCGCTGACCTTAAGCTTCTTTTAAATGTTGAGAAAACGTAAGGTAAAAGGTAATGCTCTTTTCTAAAGCTAAAAAGACTCCAGAGACTGCTTTGGATATTGTTACTATGCAAGGACAAGTACTCAAAGTGGTTACCTATTATAAATACCTTGGTATCTGGCTTGATGATTTTTCTTACTTTTAAACTTCAGGTCATTAATCTGCTTAAAAAGCTGAGGGTTAGGCTAGGTTTCTTTTTTAGAAACAAGTCCTGTTTCTCTTTTGAAGCCAGGAAAAGGCTAGTCAGTGACCTTTTTACCTGTGCTGGACTATGGTGATTTGATATATATGAATGCACCTGCCCATTGCCTGGAAAGGTTAGATGCCGCCTATCACAGTGCTCTGAGATTTGTTACAAACTGTAAAGCACTTACTCATCACTGTACCCTGTATGCCAAGGCAGGTCTGCCTTCACTTACTGTTCGGAGGCTCAGTCATTGGTACATATTCATCTATAAAGCTATGTTGGGTAAATTCCCAACTTATATATGCTCTTTGATCTCTCAGAGAGTGGCAAGCAGCTATTGCCTGAGATCGCAGGATGTGTTTTTATTACATGTGCCAAGTCCTAGGACTGTTTTAGGTACTAAAGCTTTTATGTGCGCTGCTCCTCTAGCTTGGAACACTATGCAAAACATTTTGAAACTGAGCATTTTGATTCCCTTGCATCATTTTAAAGCGCGGCTGGATGAAATGTTATTAGATACCTGTCATTGTGAATAGGATGCTAATTTATACCCCTGTAATTATGTTGTGATGTCCTTTTTGTTTTCTGTTGTTTTTATGTGTAACCAATGTACCGCAGGTCTCCCTTGAAAAAGAGATCGTTGATCTCAATGGGATTTTTTAACCTGGTTAAATAAAGGCTACAAACAAACAAGACGCAAAAAAAATTCACCTGTGCTACGGGCTGTCTGTAAAGACACAGGCCAATCCTCGACTCAAATTAAGGCCGTTACGAATGACTGCAGCCCAATAACCATAAAACGGTATCTGCGAGAAAAGGGCTTAAAGAACAAAACATTTATTCGAGAAAAAAAACGTGCCCGTCTGGACTTTGCAAGGGACATACATGGGACATTGAAAGGGGACTATATATTATTGAATTACAAGATTAGATATACTTTATTTGATCTAAAATATTGATGTGTTCAAATGCTCTTCTAAACAAAACTGAAAGTCCATGAAAGTTGTCTTCCTGTTTTTGTGAATGAAGCGCCATCTCCTGGTTAAATCCTGAAATTGAAAATCTGGCAACGCCCTCTTGGAAAATAGTGGGAGGGCTTAACATTCCCAGATACTGGTCTTTGGCAGGTCTTAGGCAGGTAGCAGGCAGGAAGCAGTAAGCTGGAGTATGAAATAAGCTGCTCCATCTGTAAGCCTCGCAGGTACTTGGAAAATGTTTTATATTGTATGTTTTTTTTTGTAAAATACATTAAAGAAATTCAATTTTCTTTCAAGTTCCAAACTTAAAAATGTTTTACAAAAATAGTCTTTATAGCCATGGTTGTTTTCATAGAGGTGAAGGACTTATGGTGAAGTGAAAAAAGAGCTTGCAGTGAGTAAAATGTGACAGGAAAAAGAAAAAGACAGCAAAAAAGGCCCTGAAAGTGCTTCAGAGAGTTAAGATAAACACTTTTTCTAAGCGTCAGACGAACCTGTTCTTCTTACGGAGGTTGTGTTGTTATTGTTGTTGGCAGCCCCTCCCTTGGCTTTAGTAATACAGTGGTGTAGCAGTGCTGGTAAGCTCTCAGACCCGGCAGGATCACTAGACGCACCTAGAAGTTCTCTGAGAAGAAGAGAGACAGCACACGTTGCTCCGTTAATCCAACAGTCATGTCCGGGCCCGTCCACATGTTAACAGCAGAAATACACTTTGCATAGCTATTTTCATTATGTTATGGTTCGATGAGCTCTTGTACTTCTACTGAGAGCCCTTTAACTAAGATGATGAATGTCCACTTTCTATCTGCAATGATGGATGATCAAAGTTAGATTTAAAGAAAGAAGGATGGGACAGAAATGAGAAAGTGAAAGAAAGAAAGAGAAATTGACATAATGTAGAGATGGTGAATTTATTATGTCTGAAACAATCATTACATTAAAGACCCAGTCCAGGATTTATTGGAATAACATAATTGTATACCACACATTACTCCTAAAAGGTAAAGTGCTACAAATGTACTTATTTTTGGTCCCATGTTGTAATTTTAAATAAGGGACTTGTAGTCTTGGAATAACGGTTTAGACAATTATTGAAATTGCTGTGCTCACTAATTGGGGGTCTTTAAAAAGTGACTGCTTCAGAAATGCGGACAATATATTGTTCTCTTTGCTGTATACAACTCATAAAATGAAAATAATTTCAGGAACTTTAAAATGACTGTTCCCGTATCAATCAAGCCTAAATGTACTTTTGAAATATCTTCCAACATCCCTCTGTTTACTTAACAGTAGAGCAAAAGAGATATCTAAGTGGTAATATGAAGTGTGCTCAGATGTGTTTTATAAATACTGTTCTATGAACTATTTTCATTTCATGAGTGATACATGCAAGTTAAATCATAACAATCAATGTTAAAAAATGACATCAAGGTAAGGTCTTTGTCATAGAATACCAGTTTACCTCACACAGAATACTCTGGTTTTGTTGGTCATCTCTCATAGAAAGATGCAATTAAATGAAATTTGATTAACTTCACAAACTCTAAAGTTCAGAGTCTCAGTGTTGGCTTAATGTCTTAGCACTTCAATTAACTGAAAATAAACAGCTTCAAAACTTGACTTAATGTCAAATTAAGTCAAGTTGTTGGGCGAAAAATGTATTGTTTCAAAAGGCATAGGGAACACAAAACTTTAGAGATGCTTGTCCTTCATTTGTCACTGTGGAGAGAGAGAGTGAGAGCCATTAGCAGAGAGGGGGAGACAAATGTTTGAAACAGTCCTGGACAGATAGAGAACAATTTCATTATCACATACACTGTGTGCAGGGGCCACAGTGTGTTAAACTAAGTACATTTCCATAGACATGAACACTGTACAGCACACTTTGATAAACATGAACACTGCGTACAGAGGCTTCACCATGCTGACGGGAGGAGATGGCAGGAAGAGGAAATGGCCGTTAAAGAACAAGTCACATGACAGGAAGAGGAAATGGCCATTAAAAAACAGTCACATGACAGAAAAACGAAAGCACTTAGGACAACAAATGTGACAAAGAATTTAGTTTGAGAATTGTTGTTATTTGTTTGGTCGTAGAGAGAAGTTTAGAGAATGCATGCATGGCATTTTGCACATGGAACAAAACTTTAAAGGGGAATACTCCAGTCTATCAGTCATGTGCGTCCTCTATTGATTCAAGGCTTATTTTTTTTTGGTTGCAGGGAAACATGTCTGTATTCAAAATACAATCCAAAGACAAAAATGCTTCTCCACAGTCCAAAACCGCTCCTTGTGCTTGCTCACAAGCCTAAAAACTGCAGCCTATGCCGCAGCAGGCTTACTGTGCCTGGGAAGAGTATTGACAAATGTGTCCTGCAGTCATTTTTACCATTAGTTGTACTTCACTTGAATCCAGCACAGAGGCACAACCCAAAGCGATTCCCCTTTAAAGGAGAGAGTGATTAGAGCCCTCCCCCTGCTGACCCCTCCCTCTCAGACATGGGTCCGACCCTTACCTATTGCGGCGTAGGGGACCGGGTCACAACGCTGCCCAGATAGCTGAGATCAATCAAAAACAAATCACGTAAGACCCTTACCCTCTATAAAGCAGCAGCCCTATAAGCTACCTTCCCTTAGAGGCCAGTGATGGTGCAGGAGCGAGGGCTCTGCCTCGTGGCTTTAGCTACTGTATGGTTGTAGTGACTAGGGGTGTGAGGTGGGTGTGAGGGGCGCAGGAATGTGTGCAGTAAAGACATGACTGTGGGCCATAAAAGGTATACGAGTCTCAGCTATATTGTTATATGGGTGTGTATACAACAAAACCTCCTGGGTGATGACTGCTAATCTGTGTACGGGGCTCTGATCTATCAGACTGTCGCTTCTAATGAGATTTGATAGTTTTATTTCTTTAGGAAACTGTATCTATATATCTATATACTTATACAGAGTGTTACAATTTCTAACCTTTTATAACTGCTTTATTAATGGTTGATAAATCACTTACTAATACATTATAACACATCACTTATTTAGGGTAGCTATGTTGTGGCTTTTTTGGCTGCAGAGCTTTTTGTCTAACACGTATATATCACAAATGTACAGTAAAGTAAATGGGTACATTTAATAGTGCTAGGGCACTAGAGAATTTAAATCCTTTGCTGCTTTATGCTCCCATTGCATGGAATACATTTGATAAGGATACGTACCATTTACACTACCAATTGAGATAATAATGTAATATATAATCATCAACAAATAAATGCTGATGTATTATTTTACACAAATCTATTGATTTCAGGAGTTTTATTGACTGGCTACCCAGAGGTGTAATTACCTAAAGTTAGTCCAGCCAACAATGAATAGATGCACAAATATTTAGAATCCAATAGCATACCGTTTTTAAAGTACTTGTATTGTTGGTATTTTAATTGTATTTTAAGGCTACTACTTTAGTGCTTTTAAGTATAATCTTTGGTATTGCTCTAGACTAGAATTACTGCAATATATTAATGACATATTAACATTTATAAACACTGTCCAGATGACTTACTAAGTTTTGATGTTTGCCTATTAGAAAATGGGACACCAAGTTTTTTTTTTTATTTGAAAACTGAGACTTGGTGGTTTCCTTATATAAGGATTATAACGTTTAAATTAAAGATTACTAAACAGTTTAAAATTATAAGCCACAACTAAAGGCTTTATTCATGTTTTTTAAAGAAAGTGGATTTATCAGAAAGTGATACAGTTTATTTGTATTATAGTGTAATACAATGTATGTAACTGTAAAAAAAGATGCAGTTAACTGTTAAAGTTGAGCAAGAACATAACTTTTGATTTTGATTCGTTCCAATCTTCAATATGGGGGAAAGAAATAAATGGCACAGTTTTGAAAACAGTAAACTTTAGAGTAAAAATAGCATCTAGCTTAGTTTCGTCTAAATGTTCTTGCAGTAATTATTTTTACCTACATTTTCATTGTGACAATTGTTTTATGAGATAATTTAAGAGCTATCAAATGATAAAGACAATAATACGTTATATCAAAATCAAATTGAGTTTTCACATGCCAACAGGTTTAGGAAATGTCATTTTTATGAACTGATACATTGTGTGTTAAATGCAATTACATGCCTTCTGCATATCAAAGTACAATATGCATCTTAATTATTCCTTAATGGAAACATTAAATTAAAACTGTGGATAAATACCGAGGAAATTTGGAAAAGAGAGCAGACGAGAAGACAAGTCTCCCCTTTAAATAAATATGTGACTATTCTCTACTGGAATGGATCACCTACCCTGAGGCTGATATCTGGAGCTGAGAGGGCTCTGAGGGCAGCATCTCCTCCTCCGTCCTTCTCTGGGACGGCCTCTGCCCGAACACATCCCTGCCCTCCAGAGGGGGAGAGGGGGACTGGGAGGGGTAACTGGCTGCAGTGGAGGCATAGGACATGTGGGCGTGGTAACTGGGGCTGGGTTGCCTGGTGGCATGGCTCTGAGTGGGAGAGGCGGACGGGGAAGACCTCCGGGAGAAACTGACAGTGGGCTGCAGGGAGATTTCATGCATCTCCAGAGACCGAGAGGTGCGGAGGATGCTGGGGCGGGGAGGGGGCCGCACTAGGATATCTGGGGAACCTGGCTGGGTGCTAAGGGGGCTTTGGGAGAGTGGAGAGAGGCGGGAGGGCTGGAGTACTAATGGGGGTAGGCTGGGGTCTGCCCGGCGATGCGCTCTCGGGCTGAGCCAGGACTGAGGGCTACTACTGGGGGCTGTGCTTGGGCTCCCTGCACGGGCTGCCGGGTCAGGGTAAGGCAACACTGGTACACCCACACCGTGGGCCGTGTGTCTGAGATGGCCGAGACTCTGGGCCTGTTGCATAGTTAAACGCCTAACCGGGGGCCCCATGGGCCGGTCTCTGCCTTGGGGAGCCATAGGGACCTCCAGCTGCAGGAGGCCAGGGCTTGATGGGTCCTTTAGGGAAGAGAGGTGCAGGCGACCGTGGGGGTGAGAGTGAGGAGGGTATGGGGGTGGATCAGGGAGGTCCTGGGAATGATGCAAGGGATGGTGAGGCGGGTATATGAACCGTGGGCCCTCTAGACCCAGGAAGGGTAACTCATGAGGCTGCCAGCTGTCAGGAGAGCAAGGTGGGCTGTGTGTGTGCGACAGAGAATGGCCAGAGGCAGTGTACTGATGGTGCTCCATCTCGCCACTCTCCTCAGGGATGGAGGGGTAACCAAAGGGCCCCTCGGCGGTGCCTGGGGGGGAGGACAGAGCAGAGCTGCGCGGGCTGATGTCAGGCATGTAGAATGGTGGTGGAATCCCTGATTCAATACGGCTGCCTAGATACCCATAGAACGGGCCCTGGGGAAAGCCCCTGTAGCGGGAGGCCGGGGCCTGCCCTGAGGCGTGAAGTGCACTGCCCTCTGCAAAGCTCATACCTTCCATGGCCCTGTGGAGGCGGGGGCTGTAGTTGGGGGGCTGCGTTGACTCCAGGCTGGAGGACGTTGGGGAGAGCTGGGGCCGCAGCGTGGGCATGATGGGCGGCAGAGGCCCGGGGTCAAAATCATTCTCCTCATCAGACTGCCGGAACTCGGGGTACATGTCAGACTCCTCTGCGAAGGGGAAGCCGTGGATGCGGCGGGCCGGTGGGCTCTCCATGGTGAAGCGGCCATCAGGGCCGCGGCTTATCAGCTCAATAGGCGTGGTGACCTCTGACTCATACTTTGACACACTGTATTTCTTGCTGGCTATGGCACGCTTGGTTTTCTTGTAGAAGGAGAGCTCTTTGTCTCGATCCCTCAGAGGGCTGGGCAGCTTCCTGACGTACAGCCCCGGGCCCTGGGACCCGTCTGAAGAAAGAGAGCGGGGCCTAGATGGAGGAGAGCTCTCTGGACTTATTTTCCCAGATGATAACCTGATAAAAAAAATGCAGACAAAAGGCACTGTCTTAGTTTAACACATGAAACCTAAAGGGTAGGTGAATTAAGTTTCTTAAACAAAAGAAAACTGTCTGATGCAGTAAATGAATAGGCATGATTATGGTTTCATTTCCAAGCTCAACAGACGACACAAGACAAAGCCAAAGCACTCTATTAAGGCAGCCATAATGAACCGCATTATGATAATGACCAGTTTATGACGGCGGCATCATCCTGACAGCTAATGAAGCTAGAATGACGGGATGAGAGGAGAACCAGCGACGCAACCATGACAACCGTATCACAAATCTATTGAATCTAAATCTTCGTGAGCAGACATGAGAGCAATTTCCATATGCTGCACCAAATGGTGATGTGAGGAAAGCAGATGACATCTAACCAGGCCTCATTTGCCCACACCAGGAGCAGCATAGTCAACACTTACTGGGTCAGTGAATGCATCAGATAGACATACAGAGTAAAGAGTGCATATACACAGTACTGAACTGTACTGTACATGCATGGAGCTAATGCAAAGTAATCCCTGTATGGTGCGTGAGAGTTAGTGCATGCAAATAGGCCAGCGGTAGGCTTCACTACAACAAATAGTCAGTTGATAATTTCTATGCAATGCTTTAACCATGCAGCCAAGCCAGTGCAGTGCAGCACACTCTGTATTTTGGTGCAGGCAGGCACTCACAGGGGGCTGGCGGGCGGGGGCAAGAAACTGCTCCTAGCAGGCTCGTCCCAGCAGGGCTCTACCCCTGGCAAGGGGGTGAGAGGAGGCCTGCGATTGGAGACAAATGACATGGGCCTGGTTCATCTTTGACTATGCCACTTCAGGAAGGACTAAGGTTGAACTTCCTGACCTACCATTTCATAAAAAAATAAACAAGGTATCTGATACTGACGGTTTATCTTAAGTCTCAGGCAGACGCACATTTATTCTTGAATGTGATTTTACATAGATTATATCCACAAATGAAATTGAAATGCAGTCATAAATGTAACAAGATTTACAGACGGACAGACAAATACACACATGTAGCGGACTGTACATTAAATGTGCAGCTAAACATAAAATAGCATTATTACACAATTTGAATCATGCAGAAAGCAGACAGCGTTTAAGAATACAGATGGATCAAAAATCAATACACATACTGCAGCTTGGGCACTCTGGGTAATGTGCCTAAAATGCTGACTTTGCTGCTTTAACTTTCTTTAATCTGCCACTGATCCGCTAGAGGCTGCTACTGTTCATGTTCTTCCAAACCCTTCAAGTTGCCCAAACATATAATCATGGTGTTTCTATATCATCCATTTTGGGTTTTGCTTATTCTGTGTGCCTATACTGTCCGGATATTTTACTTAAATGCGAAAGAGAAGGCAATGATGTGCATAATAATCAGTTCTACTAACAAGGCTCTAAAAAGAGTATTTCCAGTTGCCAGATGTTTAAAGTAAATGTAATACTTTTTTTGTTTTAACTGTTATTTATTGTCAAGATGTAGTGTATGCCTCGTCTCAGAATACATAGGAAGAGGCTTTTTGGTTAAGGTGCATTAGAAGTTGGACAGTAGTAGCGTCCTGCAGGATCTTTGGCATTTAGTCTTACTTACGGTGACTCAATGCTTTTCCTGAAGTGTGTCACCGACAAGGGAGGATCTGAGAGGACAAAAACATTTGAATTCAGCATTTCCCTCTGTTTAAAACCATAAGACATAGTCAGACACATGGGTGTATTGTGAGACAATGGACCCCTTGGACATGTACAAGGCACCTTATCCATCCTAAATAAGAGTAACTCAAAACAACCATTGTGTTGTTTCTCTTCCTGTTTGTTTTGCATCCCGTTGTAGTCATTTAATGTATTATCTTGCACTTTCACCCAATGGTCCTGGTAGGCTCAGAAGTCATTCATCCATGGTCAAACATCTACTATATTTATTAAATGTGGGTTAAAGTAGAGTGGGAGGCGGACCTGGTTTACGCTTCAGTTTGCGACGGTGTTGCTTATTGACAAAGCAAGCTGCTAGAGTGCTGAACAGTACCGCTGCTGCCAGAAAACAGATAGTTGCCACGACACCCGCCACCACCGGCCGCGCCAGCCCCTCATCAGGCAACTCCGCAGGAGGGAAGGGATCTGATGGGGCAGACAGGAGGGTGAAAGGGGACTTAACTAAGACAAAAAAACTCACATATCTATTTAAGGACTCCAGTTTGTAATACATCATACAAAAAAAAAACTGACCGGTGCTCGACACTCCCACTACGTTGCTGCTTTCACTGATCAGGTCATCCATGACAGCCATCACCCGAAACTCATACCAGGACTCCTGTGAGAGAGACAACATACACACTGTCCCGTGACCGTCTCATGCACTGATTTGTGTAAAAGTGACTGGATCCTGTTCAAAAAGCACTTTGTGACTCTGAAAACTGACCTGTGTATAGGTGGAATTTAGATAAAAGGATGTTTGCTTTATTTATTATTGTTATGCGTACTAAAAGGAGATTATACCCAGGGGTGCACATAACTTTTTTAGTGAGTTACTCAGATGAGTACCAGGAGACAGCGTTTGGTACTCACCCCACACATGTAGTGTACTTTTACTCCACTACATGTATTTAATACCTTTAGTTACTTTACAGATCTGGATTAATGATGTGAAATATAATCAACTCTTGAATCAAACTTTAGTTCCACCTGGAGTCAATTCACAAGCTACCCTGCAGTATACAAAGTCATTAAAACTAGCTGCACCTTTACCAGCTTTGATAACACTTTAATGATAAATAATTATAAAACATATCATATATTATTCGGAAATGGACCAATCTGCACAATGACTACTTTTACTTTTGGTACTTTAACTATATTTTGATAATGCTTTTCTACTTTTACTTGAGTAACATTTTGAATGCAGGACTTTTACTGTAACAGAGTATTCCTACACAAGGTCTGAGTACTTCTTCCACCTCTGTCTGATTTCAAACTCTTCCATTAACACCCTGAGTAAGTTTGTTGTAAATAAAACTGCAGCAGCTTGACCACAGAGCGTGAACGTTGTGATCAGCTGATTTTGCGCAGTTCTCCAGTGTGTGCGCGGGGCACAGAATGTGCACAGGGGAGTCTCCCACTGCAGCCAGTTGGCGGAGTTTTGGCACAATTCTGTTGTTCATACCGACGTTAACAACAACCCCGTCTGTGCACACGGTGAACAACTCTGTCGTCCAGTGATCTAAGCCTCTGCCTCCTGTAAAGCTTCACAGGTCCGTCGGTTATGTCCTGTGCGGCCCGGCCAGCACCCAGTTACAGTACAATCAGTCATAGAAAGTCCGAAGATTTCTTGCAGGGAGCAAAACGGCAACGTAGCTGCTTAATGTCTTTGGTTTTTATGACATGTCTAGTAGTTTACTCCATTGAGTGTTGACAAGAAACACGTGTAGACGAAATATGTGTTTTGTTTTGAGGTACGCAAAGGCGCGTCGTGACACAAGTGACGTTACGCAATTCAGATTTGTGCCGCGCATGCGTACCAGTTATGTGCACCCCTGATTATACCTTGTAGCGAGCATGTTTGCATTTCTTTTTTTTTTGTGATGTAGGTTACACAAACTCACCTTTTGTAATTTATGAATATAATCATTTTTCAAAATGCACTATACTGCAGTGAGGCGAAAAAAAAGACACCATCTCTTGAACATTTATTGTAAGCTGGACGTTAAATCATGTGCATACAAATGTGGAATATGTAGAAATGTTATAATTATTTAAAAATAAAATGATAACTAGATTATGCTCGTCACCATGAAATAGGGATATGGTTTACAAGATTCTCTCTTAATTAACTTTCCAGTCAATTACCCCTTTGCCACACCTTACACAGCCATGTTTCTGTATGGACTGCATGTATTTGTAACTGACCTGAACGAGGTCTCTGGCTATGAGCTCGGTCTCGGTGGACGGGATCAGGTCATCCAGAACCTCCCACCTCTCCCCGAGGCGGAACTCCATGATATATCGGTCGATGGGCGAGGAGTGGTTGCCTGGAGGGAGCCATGTGAGGAGGACACCGTGCTGCGTGCGATTGGCTGTTAGGCACCGTGGTGGAGTAAGAAGCACCAGTGGTTCTGGGGTACCCAGAGGAGAGCCTGTGGACAAGACATGTTGGACAAGAAAGTTAACATGAGGGAAAGTTATTCAGACAATGATTTCCATATGTAAGGAAATGTGATACAACCTGACTTAGCAGAGTTAGACCACATTGGTTTGTTTGATGTATAAATGCTGTTTTTCACTCATTTTCATTGATCTATGCATGCCTTTATAAAACACTCCTTTGTCCTCTCTACTGTATGTTAGAAAAAACAGCAATGCACATTTCTGCCTTCATGCCTTTTTTTGCTGAGACATTGATTTTAAAAACCATTCACTTTTAATTCAGTTCAGACATTGGGACACTAAGACTGGATATTGGCAACATGCCCTTGAGGCATGAGTTGGATTACAACACACAAAATGTGAAAAAAATACAAATGTTAATCTGCTCCTTTTTCTACATCAGAAACAGCTACAGCGGCTACATTCTCTGAGTAACAACATTAATAGATATTTCTCTGAACATGTTGACTTGTCAAACACAAGTGGAACTAATAACATTAATAATGACTGTGGTATTTTGCACGTAGGCTTATTGGCACACCTAAATGGAACAGTGCCATCATTACTGTCATTAGTTACACCTCTGCTCTCTTGCTATGACAAGTCAAAATGTTGCGGTAGATATTATCTGTTGCATCACTCAGCACATGAGAACAAATCCACTATTTAAGGAATGTCAGCTGGTCTCAGGTCTCATGTGCATTGTTTTTTTATAAAAATGTTAATGTTTACTGGCACACAGTCCTTTATTACATTTTAAAATTAGGCACATTCATTAAATTGCAGAAGAATCTTGTTTGTTGAAAATCTTGTTTGTCAAAGAACAATGTTTAGAGATATTTTATTCTGATAATCAACATAAAACAATAAAAGTGAAGAGGTACAGGATTTAGGAAGTAAAGGATGACATGTCTGCCCCATCCCTAGTAGAAATTACACATATGTACACATTCATTTAAAAACAACTACAGCGCAGAATCTCGTGAATGGCATCTGAAGACATTCTAGAAAATAGAAATAGTGCAAGTCGCTGATTTAATTCTGCAGTCAAGTTTCCTTTAATTGAGAACCCACCTAAAGTGTTGACTGTCACAACTTGGCTGAATGGGCCCGTGCCCAGTTTGTTCTGCGCCAACACACTGAACTGGTACTCTGTCCCGGCCTCCAGCCCCGTCACCACCAACCACGTCAGAGCCCCAGAAACTGGCATGGAGTGCCAGTCGTGAGGACCAAAGTCTGTTCTCTTTGACCTGAGTACAGAAACAGGGCAGAACAGAAACAAATATTCATAATTGTAATGGTAAACTTAAAACAATGGTGAAAGATGTGCTCATTAGTCTCAAGAAAGTGTTGTTCACTAATTACCTGTGAAGCTTTGCAGTTTATTTAACCTATATGGTGCATGTGACTTATGTATATTCCTGAGTGTGACTGCATTGCAATACTTTAAACAACATCTACTGAAAACCCCAAGAAATATACTGTCCAAAGAAATACTTAGGGTTGAATTTCTAACATATTGTATGATCATAAAGGCAGGAGAAACATGTTTGTTAAACTAGGCCTTTAACCCACAGGAAGCGTTTCCGCATCTGCATGCTGCAGACAGTGATTTGAAGTTAAATAAGAGCACTCACACTGGACCGTACCACACAGAAAATGTCTGTTCGAAGCCGCCATCATATCCTGGTTCCCAGGACACATTAGCAGAGGTTGTGGAGGGCAATACGTGGATGTTGCCAGGAGCATGTGGGCTGGTGCCTGAAAGCCAAACCAATTTACTTATATATCTATATATTTCAGCTTGCGATTAGCATTTAATATAACTTGCAGTGAGATAGTATAGATATTATATTAACATGGGTGGTGTATTACTGATTTATTCAAATATGTGGGCTTACAATGCACCTCAAGTAAAACGATGAGCATTTTGTTGATGTTTGCACCTCTAAAATGCTGTGCTGCATCATGCGCCCGCCCGTTCTCGGTGTAATAATGCGACTCTGGCTGAGGTGGTGACCAGCGTAAGGTCTAGTTAAAGAGCAGCAACGCTGTCTGCAGCTCTGCTCATCCCACCCACGCAACAGATGTGCTGTGTGGCCCGAAGCCAGTTACTTCTCATAAAGGAGAGACCTGAGCCCAGCTGCCTCCTCTGCCCTGCGACACCTGTCAGCTGAGAGCCGGTCACACGGAGAGGCCGGCTGAGCGCTGCCAGCTGGGCCACAGTGAAACCCCTCCTCATGCTGCGGGGCACGGGCTACTGGGGCAGACTGAGTGACCTGCTCATATGTCGAAGACCAGCAGACAATACTTAAAGGTCCCAAGACATGGCCATTTCTACTGATCATAATTCCATTGTTGAGGTCTACTAGAATATATTTACATTGTTCAATGTTCCAAAATCACATTGGTTTCTCATACAGCATCTCTGTATAGTATGTGTATTCACTCTCTGTCCTAAATGGCTTGTTGGAGCTCCTGCCCCCCCTCCCTATGAGCCCACTGTGCTCTGATTGGTCAGCTCGCCCACTCTGTTCTGATGAGTCCACCACCGTTACAGCGGAACATCAGTGATTATGTGTTACAATGGCGTTTGTTAGCAACCAGAAAATGACACCAGTAATGACAAACAGATGAGAATGCTGCGTGGGGTCTGGGTGCCGTGTTGGCGGGACGTTGCGGGGCTCGCTGCTCTACCCTTTGAGGCTCGAGGAGAGGACAGTGTGAGCGGGATTACTGGTGTCGTTTCCTGGTTGCTGCGTGGGGTCTGCGAGACAGCGAGACACAGCGGAACTCAGCCTGAGTGCGGAACTCAGCCTGAGTGCGGAACTCAGCCTGAGTGCGGAACTCCGCGGAGCCGCGGCTGAGAAAAGATAAGGCTGAGTGAGTGTGACGGCCCGTCCACACGGCGGCGTGCGTTGAAGCTTCAACGCTTCTGCCCATTCACTTTGAATGGGGTGACGTCACGCTTCGCCGAACTGCATTGTGGGAGCGTCGCTTCGCTTTGCTCGCGTTGCTCGCTTCAAAAGTTGAGCAATGTTCAACTTGTGAAGCTTCGACGGAAGCGTCAGCCAATCAAATCATATGCCAGTACAAGCTCTAGCCAATCAAAACGTGTGCTTGTGTGTCCGGGGCGGGAGATTCATGTGATTGGTTATTGGTCGAGTTTCAGACACGCCCGCCGGCAAGCTTCAACGCACGCCGCCGTGTGGACGCTGCGTGAGTGTGTGCGGAAATCCACGGAGCCGCGGCTGAAAAAAGATAAGGCTGAGTGAGCGTGTGTGTGTGCGTTACGTCACTGAACTCAAGAAGAAAAAAATGGAAAAAGAAAAATCTCCAACGAGGCGTTCTGGGGCAGCATAGACAGGTATTTTCTGTGTTAGAGTTTTACTCGCTACAGGGCGTACTTTGAGGGTTTTTGACTCTGCAGACCGTTTACATGCAGAAAAAGCTACATAACACACAAGGGGACGGGTAGTAACCAGAAAAGCATGACATGGGACCTTTAAACAAAGATTTAAAGGAATAATTCTCAGTTCAGAGAAACAAGCTTATTAAGATTTTAAAAAGGAGGCTACAGCCAGAAGACAATTACTTAGCTGAGTAAAAAGTAAGCATAAAGTATTTTTGTTTTGTTCAGATTAAATAAGATAATCCTTATTTATTATTTAGTTTATGGGCTGGTAATCTTTTTTTTACTTTTGGATTGAGCCAGGATAACTTTTCCCTGTTTCCAGTCTTAAGGCTAAGCTAGGCTAACTAGCTGCAGGCTGTAAATCTTCTCGTCTAAAAAAAAAAGCTTATTTACCAAAATGTTGAACTATTCCTTCAACAAGGAATACACATTTACATGTCTTCTATTTAAGCACTATTGTAGTAAAAGAAACAATAGTGCTCTTTCCAGTGAAAACATTTTGAGTCATTGAGAAATTGAGTCCTGATTTTGCAAATATTAAATAAATTGAGTATATGATTATATCTTTCTAGCCTCAAGATAAATGTTTGCACAAGAATGAAAAAAAATGTTGGCCTCCGATTACTATACATATGTATGTTTTATATCCTTTAGTTTCCATGATAATCACAAGTCAGTAAGGCTGTTACACAACTTTGTGTAAGACATTTATATTTTCAGAATGGCTTTTATTACTGCTACTTAAAAGTATTACAACTAGTTATCAAATTCTAACCCCAATAATTTGCATTAAAGGTGATTACATTTCTACAATGCTTGACATGAGGGGCTTGTAGTTTTAACATTTGGGTATCTGGAAATTCATAGTAGTTATGCTTGCCTTTGTCGACGCTTAAGAAATGTCATAAAAGTTCATAAAGATGTCCTTGGTCCATGACTCAAAAAGACAAAGGGTGTAGTTACGATTTTGAGCAGAGGGAAGGATACCACACTGTAATTACAGAGTCAGACTTTAAATTAACTTTATAAAGCTATTTCAGATAGGATCTAATGCAATTTTAATGATGCCCAAGGGGAAATTGGGCAGACTCAAGGTGTTTGAAGCATGAGGGTCTTATCATGCAAATCACTCAGACCACACACAGCAAAGTGAGGTCACAATGAACTCAAAATAACTGAGAAAGGTCATTATGTTCGAGGAAGTTGAGAGCCATGTGCAGATTTTCATACCGATGACTAGGATTCGCGTGCTGGCAGTGATGCTCGTGACCACATTGGTGGCTACACACTCCCATTCTCCGTGGTCCTCCTTGCTGAGGGACAGAAACTGTAAGCTGCCACTGGGTAGGATGTTGTGCTTACTCTTGCTCGGCTTCCCCACCTTTAATGGACATGGAAACTACAGTTACATGGTTAAAAAATGTAAATGCACATTTGCTGACAAGATTCAATGGGAGTGAATTCATGCTGTTATTGTGAATTGTACCTTTCTCCAGGTAATGGATGGTATGTCAGGGTCTCCAGAAGCAGCACAGGGGATAGTAAGCTCTCTCCCAGCCTCCTGGCGATACTCCCCCCCAGGCCTCACATTAAAGTAAGGGGGATCCTGGAGAAAACATACAAACACAAGACCTATTATGCAGTCTTCTGGGCACATCAGTGTAACATGACGCAAACAGAACAAATAGGAGCAGTGATGTACCTTTAGCACCAAAGTGGCAGGGGGGGACATGCCCATGGTACCCAGGGCGTTGTAAGGCACACAGGTGTAGGTGCCCAGGGAGTCTTCTGTTGCCTCCGCCACCCTGATACTGCCATCCTGCATCAGGCTCCAACCGGGGTACTGAAAGACAAGCGGACATCATGATTACAGGCCCCCTTTTTTTTTTTTAAGTGGATGCTTATGTAATGCAGGCCTGCTGTCAACAGCAGGGCCACATATTGTGTGACCTCAGTGACAGTAGATTAGATAAACAGAGCAGCAGATGGAGCGCTCTGAGCAGAGAGATACTTTATCTACTTGACACTTGTTTGAAAATGAAGGAATTCTTCTTAAGCAAAGGACAGCTTCAATGATCTGTTACACTGAAATCTAAGGACAGTGGTAAAAGCAGTATATTGATCCATTACAATAATCTAAAAAAACTCACTATATGCTTTAAAGGTGACATATTATGCACATTTCTGGTTTATTTAAAGTGTGACAGTAAATGTATTGTAACACCAAGAGGAGACTAATGAGCACTAACCTTCTCTACTCTGAGAGGATAGCCGTCTTTCTCCCATTTCACTAATGTCACAGGCGGGTTGGCGTCCACCGGGCAGCGGATGACGCCTGGCAGTTTCCGTGGGACGTAGATGACAGGCGGCATGTTGATCACACGGGCAGGGTCTGCAGGGAAAGTAAAGATCTGTGTCAGGGATCCGAGATGCATAATCAATTTAGTTTGATGTAATACAGAAAACAACAAACAGGTTCATTGCTAGGAATAAAAGAGGTGAAGTTGAAAAGGTAAGTACTTGGCCGGTTAGATTACACATGTATGATTCAAATGACCTCTTATCTTCACATTTGTATTTACACATACTACATTTACTCTATGTATGTTGGCTTACCAATGTTTTATTCTCTTAATGTGTTTTTTGTAAATATAATTTTGACTGATTGTTTTCATCATATTTTTGCATGTTTACTCTTTAAAAAAAAAAAGTTTTTTTACAAGTATTTTATAGTATGAAAGTATTTGACCTCAACACATCAAACCTACATATTAAAAAGTGGTTATATTTTCAGCTTTTTATTATTGTTTCATATTACAACATGGAATCGAGATTTTCAATGAATTGGTCCTGTCCCTGGCTAAAAGTTATTGAAAGACCCTTAATAAATTACTCTCAAGTGATTTTTAGCCAAACAGTAGGTTAACCTTTTATCTCTGAGATGCCTCATATAAACGGAGCCAAATAATGGTTTTTTTGCCGCATCCTGGCCACTGCTTTAATCCTTGTCGGCTGTATTTCAGTGTAGTGATGAAATCAGTGGCTGCAGTGCCTCTGAATCCCCTGCTCTCTCTCATATTGTAGCACAGTAATCATTGAGCAGCGGAAACTTGGGAGAAAATTGGCTCATCACCCGAGGATTTGACAGAACCTCAGATGGGCAGCAGTGACGTTTCTCTGTCTCACCCCAGAGCTGATGAGCAGAGAGGTCACCATTTTATTTTTGGGGGAACCAGATACAAAAGAGACGGGAAAAAAATGGAGTCTGAGGTCGAGGCGGTCTCCATCTTTGTGTTCAGGATTGAAGCTGGAGGCGGGATAGATAATAATTGTATCATTAAAATCCACTCAGAATATGGAAATGTTTAAGAGGCTGGGTCCAAACAAACTATGTGACTCTCTGTCATGTCTGACCTTGAAATCCAAGAAGGTTACTTTGCATTACAGTGGCAGAGCAGCGCTGCCAAATACAGCAGCCTCCATACTACTGTTCCCTCGCACTCCTCTTCACACAGCTCGCTGTACCGTCTCCCCGCCCCTCCCCCATCCACTTTGTTGCCAGGGTAACACTCACACTGAACAGTCAGGTAGGCTGATGCCGAGGGGGAGATACCGAGGCTGTTGCTCGGACTGCAGGTGTATTTCCCAGCATCCTCTGGCTTGACCCGGAAGATGATAAGCGTGCCGTCGATTAGGATGCGCACTCGGAGCTTCAGATCACTGCAACGAGACACACACATCGTGTTACAGAAACACACCATCAGGACAGGGCACACATCTATTTGCTCCTTGTGCTGAATTACATGAAAAAGCCATAAGGGAGCAGCAGAGAGTCAAACAGCAGCTGCCGCTCATAGAAAGAACACAGAGTACAGAGCAAGACTTTCAAATAAATCTGCTAATTGCCATAATCGCCAAATACTACAGCCCTCATGGTTCCCCCTTGACGGCATTTAAAATGACTGTGATGATGGAGCACATGTGTTTTTTGTTGTTTTTTTTTTTTGTTTTGTTTTTTATAAATGGAGCTGCTTTCCTTTTCATGCCACGCAATTCAAGCTCAAACTGAATATGTCCAGAAATAAAACAAATCCACTTTTAAGAAGATCCTGATTTATAAAGGTTCGTAATGGTAATTAATAAGAACAATAGTTCTGTAACCAGGTTGTGAGAAATCCCTTTAGCCGATTGGACCTTACAAAATCCAATCAACAATTTATTAGGCATGATTTATGGATTACCAACACTTATATAACTGCATTACAACCTAATACAGTAAATATGTGTTACAAATCAGAAACCCAACTGTTGCTCCTAAAGGCTTATAACGGATCTGCAGAGTATAAGTTAATTCATTTTTAATTCAAATGAAATTTCCCAGTTGGGAACTCGTTTTTTACAGATTATTATGAATTATTTTGAATGCACCATATAAGCTATTCTGCAATGGTAACTAAACATAATTTGTGTATTCGCCCTGTGAATCAATTCTGTTCCAAAAATATAATTCTTCCTTGGCCTGTGCTCCTATCCACCAAGTTTCATTAAATCGCAAATATATATATATATATATATTTTTTTTGTAATCCTGCTGAAAGACAAACCAAGCCAAAAATATAACCTCCTTGGCAGAGTTAAAAATACAACATAAAGTAATAAAACTCACAGATACTGTTACTACTTTTTGAACTCCTACACCCACAGATAGGCCTTAAACCTGCCTCCTCACCTAAAAAGAAGAATTAGATCTGTAATTTCAGTGCCTGCTTTTGTGGTAGTCCTTTAGACACTTGTTTTCGCTACCTGTCAAACTCCTGTTCACTTGTTCTTCCTTTTCACTTGTTCTGTCACTTGTCCGCTGTAAAGCCCCCTCAGACTCTAAAGACCTGCCTGTGGAGGTCCTGGCTGCGCTTCAGAGCATCGCTGCATGAGAGGCATATGATGACACAAGGCCTGGGTCATGTGATATTGTCACCAGAGCGCACTGGCACTGTCCAGACAAACCCCCCCGCCAGGCGAACTCTTACTGCCTCTGGGGCTGCAGGAGGACAGGACACCGGCACACACACACATGAATATTGACTCACAAACTCAAAAACACATCACAGAGACACATGATGTCACTCGCATCACAAAGGTTTGAAATAAATGCAGCCTGTGTGGTGATTTAAGTGCCAGTAAAAAAGCCATACATTCTTAACTAAGATGTTTCCCTGAGCTTCAATACAAAAGTGAACTTGAGCATAACTTTACTTCTTAAAGTAGACGTTATCCTCTTCCCAGAACCAGGTGTAGGTCAGGTTGCCAGGATACGCCTCCGCTTGGCAGGTGAAAAGTGCATTCTGGGATATGTTGACAGTGACGTTTTCTGGTGGAGAGACGATGTATGGAGGCCCTGAGAGAAAGAGAAACAATGTGTATTAGTTTTAGTTGTCTAATAGTTTTGTTGTAAAGCTAGTAGACAGTTTTTTGGGGGAATAAGCTTTACACAGTGGCTAATTTACAACTTGACTGCTAATTTGGCTAAAATGGAGCCATATTAGCATTTATTCAGAGTTATGTATCTGGTGTCTTGATGAATGAAAGTCAAATATTTACTTTAAGGCTTCTGTTTTGGTCTTCATGAATTCCTGAGGAAAATATGCTCCACAATGTTCAGCAGCTAATGGCTAACTGTATCTGTCTGTCGTCTGGTGTTGAGCATGAAGTGTACACAGTGGTTGAGTCAACCAAAACAGTTCAAATTCAGACGGTAAAATCATAACATTTAGAAAATGAATACATTACATATATTTAGAAAAAATGACCATTTGAAAAACAGTTATATACAGTACAGTGTTATGCAGTGCATTCTTCATAAAACTTCCAATACACAATACATATGCAACTGGACTGCAACTGAAATATCACTTGGGATTTAGCTCATCACTCACTTCAATTGAAAAGATTTTGGGAAAAAGAAACAAAAATAACCATTTCAACAAACATACAATAAAATAACATCAGATTTTACCGTTTTGACGGTTGACTTTAACAGAGTGACGGTAGAGAAGGTCGCTGAAGGGATGAAAAGTATTGTTAAATCTTAAAAATCATATTGAACTATATGCAGGCCTTTTCTGCTTTCACTTTGGATGGGATTATGGACATTTCTTCCAGGAACAAAGTGAGAAAGAACACACACTATGTATTATTTACAATACATCACCACAGTCTGATGTGAAATACAGCGTGTAGGCAGCTTCTGTGACCTTAATAGTAGTCGGAGTTGCAGCTTTATGCATGCTTCACATTGTAACCTTTTCATCGCCGAGGTGCTCTAGGTTCGCTCTTAACTCTATAAAACTGCAGAAGCCATGAAAGGTAAGCTGTCTGTTATGAGTGGGCCCAGATACAAGCCTTCTGGTTATTTTCCTCTCATCGTGCACAGCTTTAATGCATCAGGTGGGACCGCTGACGGCACTGTGCGAGTGTCTCACATAACAATTAAAAACAGATCACAAGAGGGAGAATCATGACTCCTCAGATATCTGTTTGTTATTGCTCTGAGTCTAAATCGTATCCCACATTTTATTCCACGGCGCTTTTCATGCCAAATGTTCATCCAAACTCTAAAAAAATTAAGATTTTATGAGGTGAAATAAAACACTGTTTTGGTGCATGTTCGTCGGTTGTGTATAATACACCCCACTGACATTATTCAAGTTGTTGCTGCATGGCAGAAAACTAAATATCTTACAACATGGTGTAATCAAATCAAGGAGCCCTATGAGATCTTCTTTAATAAGTTCCAATATTCAAAAGTCTTCTTCCGATATATTATCCAGCTATATCTCAATTTGAGGAGCACTGTAGCATATGTTGTCCAATGTATCTGTTATCCAATGTATATAAACAAACTACTCCTCCCCACAGAGACTGATAAACAATCCATCATTAACAATGTACTTTGATGATAGGAACACTCTTCTTTCTGTTTTGCGTTTGAAAAAACGGAATCATCAAAGTCTGTCCATATGGGAAAAATCCTCAACAACATCTTAGATAAAAGAAAGGTTTACAATCTGGAAAAAAAAAAAAATTGGACCTAAATTTGTTGTTGAACCAAAAAAAACAACCAAAAACAAAAGTATTTTTTTGAAAAGTTACGGGAATCATCTTTCTTTTTTCCGACAGATTTAAAAGTATCTTTTTTGAATAAAGTTGAACATTTATTTAAAAAAATACTTTATTTCTCAGGAGCGGTAAAGTTTATATAACCAATCGCAGCCTTTTAGTGTGCTCATCACAATATTATCATAATATACGTTCAAACAAAACCTGTTTCTTGTTATACTTTTGGTTCATTCTGATAATGTGAGGACTCTTTTCTCACATAATGTCACGACCTAATTTTTTTATTATAATATATATATATATATATATATATATATATATATATATATATATATATATATATATATATATATATATATATATATATATATATATATAGTAGAATTCCCACTTGATTCTGAAAATAGAGTACATTATGTCCTGTGATACTATTCACCAAATTGTTTGTTGTCCAAAAGGCCAAGAATGTTCAAGTTAAGATATAATAAAAAATAACCCCAGTTGTTTTAGACTTATCTCTACAAAATTACTTTTTAGTGTATTAGTTAATTACGGGGCACTTGCGTTATCCGCTTAACATTGCAATGCAGTATGTAGTATTGTCCAGTTTTGATATGATGGAAGCACATGGAGAGCCATAAGTCCACATGCTCACCACTGCTGCAGAGTGTGGTGGTTTAAAAGAGGGCATCATAGTATTAGCGGCTCCGCTGGCTGGAGGCCTGCAGACTTTATGCAGTTGCATCACACGCACCACTGGTTACACTATCTACTGGGTTACAACACAATGATTTTTTAATGTGTGTTTGCAGTGAGTGTGTGCACATGCATTTACTATACGGGGAACAAAGAGTAGAGTAATACCTCCTATCCGTTTGCACCTATAGAAGTCAAGCATTAAAATAGACCTTACGCCAACTCTACCATAGGAGTGAGATGCTCGGTTGCTTATTAAATACACAGTGTTAACTCCCTGCTTTATCAGGAGGCAGAGAGATGGAGAGAAAGAGCACTGGAGGCTGATATCACAACCATCCATCTGATCTGTGTCTAGCAGAGAGCCTAGTTAATGGACCGGAGACAGACTGTGACGCTCTCACAGACAGACCCTGCTGTACACACATGATGTACACACATGCACACACAACCTCCAGACTGAGCTATTGACTGACTGAAACAGACTCAGAAGGTGTGTTACATACATCAGTGCACCAGAGAGTTGCAAGGCTGTGCTTTTGAATGCTGCTACACTAAATGCCTTCAAGTATAAATAATAAAACTACTTCAGCGATGCAAATGCAATATTTGGCCTGAGGTAGATAGTAGGGAACATTTTAATTTCAGAATCTTGTGATCCGTTCAGATACATTTGTCAACAACCCTTATGAATAAACCCTAATGTAAGCGCCTTGCTGCAGTGTGTTTCATCTCTACATACAGTACCTTGAACCAGCAGACGGGTGGTGTGCAGCACCTCTCCCTGGTCACTGTAGGCCCGGCACGTGTACGCCCCTCTGTCATCCCTAGTGATGCCCAGGATGGTGACACTGCCATCATGTATCTGTGGTGACATGGAGGAGAAACAGATATAAACCCAAACTCTGATGCAAAACATTCACATAATGTTGCAAAGAGCAAGTAGTGGAATATTCAGATTAGATGTCCAATGATAAATCAATTGACAGATAATCTGCTTTATATTTGGTAATTAAATAATCCTTTGATTTTCTCTGGGCAATAGTGTTCAAACTTCAATGACTCGAGTTTCTAGAATGTGAATATTTTTTTATGGTGATGGATTCATCAAGGGAACCAGTGGCAGATTAATTGATCTTGAAAAAAATGGTTAGATGCAGCCATAACTCAGATAATTTGCTTAAGTCAAGGTACCCATACCACACTGTTGAACACACTGAATAGTAAATAAACATGTATTAGAAATGTGTGCTTACATACCTAAAATAATCAAAAGCTCTTGATGAGGATATTGTGTCCCTATCAGAGTTTTGCCAACAGACTGCTGTTAGTTAATATATGTTTTTGTATGTACAATCTTAATTGTAGTGGACCAAAAAGTACAATATTTGTAATAAAATAGTATAAAAGCAGTACCATACATGGGAGCAGTCTCCCACTGACCATGACAACACATAAGAACACCCATGTTCTTAAATGAAGTTTGTGGTGTGTCTCTACTCCAACACATCAAACGCATAAAAGTCATGAATGCTTTAATTAACTCCAGGTCTGATTCCTGCATGTTGTAACCATGGAAACGTCTAACTCCATGTTGCTGCGGGTCCCTGTTTGCAGCTACTGATGAGAACCAATAAGTGGTGAAGAAACACATTAACCAAACCTAATAGAAAAACCCTCATAAATTATGCAACAGGTTGCGAGAGACTCTGTCCATTCAAGTAACACACACAGCTGTAGTCTGTCCATTCATGCAGCTGGGGGGGAATCGGCTGCGCCTGCAGAATTATTCCTATTCATCTGTCTTTCAAATGGTTTACAGCCGAGAAGTGCTGCGTGTAGATCAACACGAGCAACTCTTAACTTCTGTCAGTCTGTTGGCAAACTGTGTCATCACCATCACAAGATAACACTTGGTGCATCACGGCTGCTGGGAGCGCGAGAGGAGTGTAAACCAAACACTGGTGAGCTGTGAGGCATCCGATGGAGGCTTGGAAATCACTTTGTATCGATTCCAAAAAGTTGAAAGAGATTAAAATTGATTACTTTTTTCTTTGATTTTGCATGTTTTCTGTTCCTTCACATACAGTACGTACCTGTACGTTTTACTGAGCTGCTGTTGTTTAAAGCTCATGTTGTTTCTCACACTGAGAAATCCTTCTGTGCTGTGGACTCACAGGTGAGTTAAAGGTGTGTTCTTACTATAAAAACTAAACCAAAAGCGAACAAATTGCATTGCTTGCTCATTGTGTAATTTGTATCTGTAATTATTGAAGCCATTGATCCATGAAAATACAATAAAGTACATTTTCTGAACCAGCAGTGTTCCTTTTTTGGTTGCATTTATTGGGAAAACACTGCACAGCCGGCGGGCAAATGTTGCCTTCATTTGCATAAACTCGATTTTTTTTTCAAATGTTTACCATTGATGGTCAATCCCAAATCGCCTTCAATGCCACAATGCCTTGCAGACAATTTATACAAGTCTGATGAAAAATGTACTGGGAGCAACTTTCCCCATTGAGCTTTTTTCTGGGAGTTTGCAGAAGCCATGTTGATTTGGCCTGAACATCCAATGTACAGATCCATGTGTGCTAGTTTGCAACAAACAGGCCATGCTGAATGGGGAGGTGTTTTTGTTTTCTACTCAGTTCTGTCTGTTCATTTCTTTCAGTCTTTCTCTTCTTTCTTCTCATCTCTGCATGTTTATGAAGCATATTGAGCCCAAAGATACACGTACATGTTCTTCTCAATACGAATCAGGTTGCGCCGCCCTTGGAATGTTTGCATAATGGCATTTTTCCATCAAACTTTGCAATCACGCCTCCTTTAAAATTCTGGGATTTCATATTGAATCTATGAAAATCAAATCCTTACACACATGCAGCAGTGACTGTAGCTGACTAGAATAGGATCTGATGATACGCGGTCATCAGTCCACTCCAGTACTTTGAGATGAACTCAATCCAAGGTGAGGGGAAGAGGATTAAAGAGGAGGAGATGAGGACAGAGGAGAGAATAAGCAGTAGATAAAGTGAGGCATGAGATGAAGGCAGAATCTCAATTGATGTTCCACTTCACTGACGCATCCAGAAGGACTGATATTGGCTTGTGGAACAGCAGGAGGCTGCTGTTTTTTCTGCCTGTTGTTTGAGTACACTATGGGGAAGACGGTTTATAATCCCACCTCAGTTTCTATCCTCTCCTGCACAACTGTTTTGTTAAGTGTCTTTGTTTTACGGCACTCTTTTGTCCTCGCAAATAAATAAAGTAATAAAGTAAAGAAAGGAAGACCCTGTCCGTTACATTCCTGCCTTTCTCCATGAAGTCTCCATGGATCTGATCATGTGGGTGAGCAAATGTACCCTCAACACACAAACACACACAGACCTACACACACACACAGACCTACACACACACAGACCTACACACACACACACACACACACACACACAGACACACAGGAGGAGCTTTCCCAAGTTTGAGCTTTTGGCTCCGTCTTGTACCGAGCAGCCAAATGGAAGACGAAAGCTCTGCTTTTTATATTTCTCAGTGTATCACGGCGCAGAAAGTGAAGTATGGCATTTGGCCCTCACTAGCTATTTTCATTTATAGTCTAACATTCATATTAGGACTAATGTAATATTGATGCAGGAGAAGGAGATTAATTATGCATCAGAATTGTGTCTAATCATTTACTGTGGAGATGGTGTTAAAAAGAAGCGACTAGAGGCAGACGAAAAAGGGGGAATAAGCGAGTAAAGGAAGATGAGGCCTTTAACAGACGCTCCAGTATGCTCCTGTCACTTCCTGTATCACGCAGACAGCTGGAAACAGTTTAAGCAGCAGACTGCAATATCAGGGACATATGAGAAAAGGAAAAGGAGGCATCCATCTTTCAAAAACAATTCAAACCTACCAAAAAAGCCCTTTAATGCTGTTGTACTTATTCATATCGCTGCTAATTGTTTGTTCTCCTGACCACATTTAAATATTTCTTATTGCTGCTTTTTCAAGAATACCAATCTTCAGAAGAATTATTTGAAGTTATTGCATTCAAGTAGTCTCTACAGCTACACATGTAGGTGGATAGAGTACTTGTGGTTGTATAGTAAGAGCAAGAGAGCAAAATATTTTCCACTTGAGATAAAGTGACATTTGCACCTTTTATTCAAGATGTGGCAGCGATGCATCATCGTCTGCTGAAGCTGTTGGTGTTTCTGCATCATTTATAATAAAACAGTGTGTTAAATGTCTTTGATTCTGTGCGACTCACACCACAATCCACCACCTGATGTTCTGTTATTGAAGGTTTATGTTACTTGAGACATTTCGCTGTTATCCAACCACAGTGAGGCTGAGCCAGAAATATATTGAGATTTTACACCTGTATAAATAAAGGCTAAATAAAATTTAAAAAATATATATATTGTCATGACAGACTGTTTTCTTTTGGGAGTTTATCCACAGGAATAAAAATCATGCATCACCAGACAACAGTGTAGCCGCTACAATCATTGACTGCTATCTTTAAACAGTCAAAGGCTCAACACTTCATATATATAGATATCATAAAGACATCTGTGTTAAAAGCGCAACAAACCATCTGATTCACAAAGGCTTCATTCCTGTAACCGGAGACATATCAACACATTCACTTAAATAATAATGCTTGTACAGATATCGTATTCCAAAACAATGTGAATGTTGTGCTGCACAACAACAGGACAGGCTAATAATAGCGAGTGAGACAATCCTCCATAACATACTCCCAGTACAGATGGACAAATGACACCATCTGTGCATGAACCCTGATTCTATATTTATAATAAACATAAATCACAATTAATAGAATGAATTATCATGAGTCTTACTGAATATTTTGCATTGGTTGCAAGCTCCTCTCCCTCCCTCAGCCAGCTGATTATTGGTTTTGGATTTCCCTGGGCAGAGCAGCTGAGCTGAGTGCTTCCCCCTTCCTTCGCCTCCACATACTGTGGCGGCGTCGCTGTAAAGGACGGTGGGGCTGTGGAGAAAGTGAAAGCAGGAATCATTACAACAGTATAATTATCATTTTCAACAATCATGAAACTGCATTAAGGAGTTTTCTTCAGTTGGAGATATTGTCTGTTTTTTACGTAGCTTAACATATATTATTAGTCGAGCTAGCTGATCTACAGAAGGCAGTGTGGAGCAGCTTCATACTTTGACCCTGGCTGAAATATTTCTCAACTATTGGATCGATTGCACACAAATAACTCGTTTTTTCTGTGTTATTTTTGGATTAAATGGACCAACCCTTCTCTACAGTATATGGTGCTAAAATGCGTAACTTTATTGATACATTTGCTTTAGTTTGTACTTCATAATCACATGAACAAAAATCTACGATATCCTATATCACTAACACATAAAAAAGGATGTTCTAAGCTCTACTAAAGTTTAAAAAACATTCTTCTATGGTTATGAAATGTAAAACACAAACAGTAAAAGTTGACCTTATAAGTAGTTTGAGGTGTTGTGTTACATTTTTGCATTGTTTTTTCGAGCAGTATATCTGAATAATACTTTTTTGTTGTACAGTACCATTGTTAGCCAGTAGGACAAACTAGGAACAAGATGACTGGCGCCATTCAACTATCATCACATGCATGATTCTGGCCTACAGAGGTTTCTAGTATAGCAGGTGGTGAACAGTTTCCTAAATCAGCTGTTCCCCCACGCAGGAACAAGCATCCTGGTGACATTAATCCCTTCATCTTGCCATTCATTCCTAAAAACCTTAAAGCCCACTTAGCAGCTTCACTGAGTTTCCATCTGATGTTTCTGAGTTTCTCTTACAGCCACCAGGGATCTCTCTTCCCCACCTACAGCACTGCAGGCCAATAACCTGTAGTTTCCTCCGCCAGCTGCTTTCAGTGTTGCAACATAATATTTTGATTATAAATAGTGGCACAGTGTTTAGTTAAAGAGGAAAAAGGCACAGATATACAAGTGGGTCACCGCTTGCCGCTGGTAGTGCTGCCATGCCTCAGACTGCACACAAGCACCTGGCATGGAGTAAACAAATCGCCCAATTAGCACGTTTAGACATCTGCCTGTCCATACTGCCCTCTCACTCTCCAGCACTCATTACATTAGATGATACAGTAGATTAATGGAGATAAAATGCCTGACTGGTTTATGCATCGCTTGCTCATGCAGTTGACGGGTCAACAGCTACAATAAACGGATCATGATGCATCATTATCAACCGGCAACCTTGCCTCACTGTGAGTTTGTGCTTTTATTTTGAAGATACTTGATTTATTCTAAGGTAGATTTGACAAGTCTTCATTAACATGCCTACAAGTGCAGTTTAGGATTTCATGCATGAAAACATATTAATTCATTATAATTACTGTGCCTGTGATGGTCCCACATGGTGCTAGCAAAAAAATACTTTGGGAAGTTTACACTAACACTTTGTCAGTGTTATGAACATTACATTGACATTGCAAAACCCACCAGGAAACAGATAAATTATAACACATAGCATTTCTTTTATACAGTATTGTCATTTAGTGTTGTTTTTAGAACATTTGTTTCTTTTTGTAGCATGCACATTTAGTTATGTGCCGAAAAACCTGAGCGTGTTTCTTATATGAGATGGTCTTGAGTCATTCTTTAATTTTCCTTTGAGTTAGCAGTGCGGCTGCTGCTTGTTGGTTGCTGCTTGAGGAAAATGCATGGGTCATATTTAGGAAATACCCCAGAATCATACGCTGACTTTGACTTTTAATTCAGTGCTATTAATTAAGTCAGCTGTAAGTGAGTGGACTTTTTACACAGTGCTATTGGTACTTTGTTGCCTGACTAAAGTACTTAGTAAGTCCACCACTGTGCTGTTATTCATTCTAAACCTAGTTTAGTGTTTCTCAAGGGATTAAGCATCACTTAATAGGACATTTTAGCATACGTGGTGGGGACAACAGCAGGTACATCCTGGGACTTTGTTTCCCACCTTCAGGTACAGCTTGTTACAGAGAAAGTGTCAACGTGGCAGAGAAACCTGGGAGTTGCTCTACAAAAAAAACATTGCATTCTCGCCCTACTTACTGCAGCAATCTTCATCAATTATATACATGACAAGATGCTGGAAGTTCCTGCACTCCCACTGTTCTTCTTGGTAGACCACACAGCTCATCAGCAGGTGGCCTGGATGCTACTCTAAGACGCACAGTTCGGACAGTTCTCTCAACACGAACAGTCACAAGGTATTTGCTCAATAAAACTGTCTGCATCATTTCATTACCTTGCTTTGTCTATCTTTTCTTGTCTCTACTCCTACGAGAATATGGCTACATAACGTGCACATGTTTAATTGATTTCACATCATAAACCTCAAACATACTGTATGGTGTGTCTCCGTAAACTGTTGAAGAGAGAAGGAAGACGCCCTCAAGGAGACTTTCCACCTCTTGTTTAATTTTAGCACACTCAAGGTACTCACCTTTACTTTATGGTGGGATTAGACTACATTACATTTTTGTGTTTTGAAATGGTCACAGTGTCACAGATGATGACATCTGAGCCTTACATTTTTGCCGCCATTTAGCTGACAGACATGGAAAATTACAAAGTGGACGCCAACCAATAATTTTGGACAAGTAGAAATATATTATATATAAGTATAAATACTGCATTTGACCATTTGTCCAACACATGGTTCTCTATTTGGCTGACACTTGGGTCCATTTGAGCACTATTGTGAAAAAAAAACAACTATAAATTAAATCTCAATCGTTGGATCCCATATCTGCCTGAGGATGGTTTATCACAAGGTCACCATTTGTGGCCATGCTGGGGCTATTAGTGACTGACAAGGGCCGACACACATGGGGAATACATGGAGCTGGTGCACAGATGAGCTGGCATTTAGGCCCCAATTGGGTCAACCAAATGGGTTCTAAATGCCAGTCCATCACTAAACAGAACAGGGTTTTCTTATGTTTCATTGTTAATGGTTAAATCATTTGAAAACGCTGCGCTGATGTTTTTTCTAATCCTCAAAAGCTTGCTGATGCTTAAAAGAGAAAGGAAGGACAGAGGAGACACGACTACAGAGAGGAGCTAAGGAAGAGATGGGGGGCGGTGAGAGAGAAAGAGAGTGGCCTTAGTGTCTTTTTTCGGGCACAAGGCCTTGCCATCTGACACCTGCCACTGAGTGGGCACCAATTCCCTGTCCGCTTGGCAGGAAGTTAAGGCCAGCAGCAACAGGAACTCAAAGGAGGAGTGTATGCAAATACCAACAGCCAAAGGAAATGGGTGCCCTTAGTGTCTGTGTGTTGAGGCCAGACGAAAATGGCACCTGCTTCCCTAACAGACACCCATTTAGCTTACAGCAGGAACATAAAGTCTTCATATGAAATCCCTTTTTGGATATCTAAACTGCTGTTCTTGATGTCTCCATAAATGTCTGTGTTTAACATCAAATATGATCCCAAGACAAACTAAACATTTGTACCAGTGAAACACCTTGAAGTATGCTGTGCATGCTAACTGTAACTCTACAGTTAGACACATGAGATCATGTAAAATGGCATCACTTAATATGCCACATATATGACATTTAGGAATATTCATTATTAGTTCTGCTACAGCCCAAAGAGCTCAGTTTCTGTTGAAAAGCCTGACAGTAGAGCAACGCAGGAGAAGAGGGAGGGAGCAGTCGAAGTCAAGAATGAATACTGATGAGGAAAGCTACAGAGATTCAGTATACCTACACAACAAGACATTGATACACACACACCCACACACATGCACGCCCACAGACGTTCCTAAACACCACATCACGAGAGTGTGCAGGTGACGGCAGAGTGTGAACTATTCACTCTTCAACTTCAACAGACAGAGATCTCATTTAGCTGCATACAAACACACACAATGAGACGCTCTCATGTCAATGTTGATCTAATGCGCTGCACACAGAACACTGTGCTGAAAGTAATCTGCAGTGTGTGTGCTGTACTAACACACAAACACATACAAAAATAAAACATTATGTTCTGCATTGATAATAACCATTCATACACGTCAGCATTTTTCCTTCTAAAGTGATTATGCAGTGCATCGGACTTTACAAATGTTTTTTTTACCCACTATTTAGCATAAAGTAAGTTGTAATCATTATTCAGGTATAAGAATTGCAACCATTGTAAAACATATGCATGATCAATTGAATATGCATGAGTTTCGCACAGTGCCAAAAATATACATGTGAAAGACTTTGACAGTCTCTCTCTAATAACACAGAGGATTACAGCGCTCTGAAGTTAGAGACCTGTGAAGATTAATTAACACAAGAAATCACCGCTTTTGGCTTGAACAGTTTTTGCCTGTTTAGCCAATGTTAACCCGTTCATTTTAACCAGAAAATGCCAACTAAGAAATCCAAATAATACATTGAGACAACGTGTACTACATGCATTTACTTTACTGCACCTTTGCTGCATCATGCATTTACTCATCTTCTGCAAAACAGCTTTATATCCGTTTCAAATGCATTCCTCACATGAAGCAGATACAGGCTTAAAAAAATAAAACACAAGGTGTCTTGTCTCTGTAGTCTCTGGTGCTCTGCAACCATGTGAGGACACACTTCACAAAGGATTCTCTGAGCCACTAGGGTATTCCTGGGAAATGCAAAGGTGCAGATTTTTTTTCCGCCTGGTCATCAGTTTGATAGCTCTCAGACTATCACAGACGATCCCTGCCGGAACCGCCTTAAACAGGCCACAATCAATTCTCCTCTAACCAGCCTCTCATTCCTTCTTTACACCAAGGCCTTTTGATAAGGAGCAGCAGGGATGATCTAAAACAGTCTGTAATTGTGTTTTCTTTTTATGTGACTGCTAAAAAAGCAGAGCAAATACTAATCTGTGTCCAGCAGTAAACGGGACCAGTGAGTCAAGAAGTGTGAGTTTATGATTAGTTTTTTTTATTTTAAGAAAGACTAGAAAGTTGTGCATTATTGTGCATGAAGCTTTAGTAAAAATCCAGTTATTCTAGAGGAATTTGTATTTGAAAAAGGATACACTAAATATTCATCAGTCAATCAACATTTGAGTACTTTCCTGACGGCCGATTAATGGATACGTAGACAAATAATTATTTATTATTTATGTATTATATAATATATAATTAATAATTATTTAATAAATAATTATTTGAGGACAAAAAAAATAATAGATAACCTGCGGACCAGGCGGACAAATAATTATTTAATAAATAATTATTTAATAAATAATTATTTGTATTTACTTTCAAAAACTGAATTAAAATAATTACTACATTTAACAATTAAATGTTACATAATGCAACAAAGACAACTTAAAAATAAGTACATTTTCAGTATGTACTGAACATATGTATACAATATTCATCATGATTCATGCAATGGCTGGATAGTTATAATATTCATAAGCTCATCAGAGTGTTGACTACTTTTACCTGTGCTTGTACTTTTCAAATAAAAAAGATGTCCTCGATAAAATATAACCATATTTTCCAAGAAAATCTGATGTTCTTTTTTATATACAGTATGACGCCCGAGTGTATGACGCAGGTTTTCTATTTTTTCCGTTGAAATGTACAAACACATACGTTAACAGTTCACAGAGTGTGTAGGTGACTCACCATTGACTGTGAGGTGCACCCAGCTGCCGTTGTGGAAGGTGTCGTACTGTTGCTCCAGCATCAGGACCCTGCACTCGTACCAGCCCTGGTCATCGGAGCGCACTGGGTCGATCTGTAGGGAAGCCTTCCCATGCAGAGAGGCTCTACCTGGAGACGGAAAAGAAACATAATTCATGTTTTTATGCTTTTTAAAAACATCTGCACGCTCTCAACGAGGGTATGCTTCTCCATTTGAACTCCCAGCTTTAAGCATTGCTTCTTACAGCATGAAATAGATTTCTGATGCAATGGTTTGCATTAAAAGTAGCCTCTAAGTTATGGTGTGAAAGAACACTTTAGATTTTTACATGGATAGAAGAATAAATAAATATGTTCCACTGACTGTACTGAACGTTATTAGGATTAAATGCAACATTGTATAATCTCTGCTACTTGCTTTTCCTTTTTTCTCTGCAAGGACTCTAAAAACTCAGACTTTGAACTCCCCTTTATTATAATAAGCACATTCACAAGCCTATTTTCCAGGCCTCAGAGAAGTTCAAGTCGGGTGGGATAAAGACATTTGTTCTCATTCCTGCTCAGGGAGTACAGCAGTCTGGTGCCTTTCCAAGCACTCGATGGAAGGCATGAGTTAACAGAGACAGACAACCCTATCCCCATCTTATACCTAAAGGGCAATTTACCGCCTTCCATCAGCTTGACTGTTGCAGGAAACGGATATAAAGACCATGAAGACTCTTTAAACATCAAACTCAAAGGATTATTAACACAACAAATCAAATCAGTTGATATTTTGGGAAATGATTTGCTTTTTTGCCATGAGTGGATAGAGAAAATCAATACCACTCTTATATTTATACGGTATATATGAAACAAGGCTACAGCCAGGAAATTGGTTAGCTCAGATATTAAGACTGTTTTTAGTGGAAAATCACTAACACGGCTCAATCCAAAAGTCAGAATTAGAATAAAAAAATGAATTGCCAGGAGACCTTCATCTTAGCTCGGCAAAAATCTAATTTTATTAACATTAAGTTTTTGTACCTCATTTGGCCTTAGTGGTACTAAAAACCATCTACTGGCCTCAGCTACTTCATATTTAACTAACAGACTTAAAAGTGCTATTGATCTTCTCATCAATCTAACAGCAAGTAAGTGAATAAATGTATTCCTCAAATGTTTGATCTTTAACCAATTCAATATTTCCATATTTAAACCTAAATGTATAAAACTTTTTAGGTTATACCTCGAGCTAAAACAAATTTAAAGTATTTGACACAGTGGGAAAAGACCAGATTTCCACCTCAAAGAAATCATCTATTTCTTATAAAACTTCTCCATCCCGGCCGCTTTTACTCTTCAAGGCTGAGGATAAATTGGAATTCTAAAAGGATGAAATCACAAGGGATGAGAGAAGTTCAGGAAACCAGGCATGGTGAAATCTTCAGCTGCTAAGCTGTCTTTCTTCAAGCCTCCAGCCCGCTGCTCACATGGCTGCCTCCGACAGCCCGACACACTAAAACACTCTCTTCTGCCGTCTGACGAGTGTTCGCAGATAGAGCATTTTTCCAAACTTTGATGTGTAGATGTTCTGTAAGCACTCTTTCCTGATACTTCCAACTGTCAGGCAGATGTATTGACAGTGAGGATGGGCTGAATTGCTCTACCAGCGCTGTATGTAAATGCAATAAATGAATAGCCCAACCCTGGGACAGCTGCCATAGTTGGGGTAGAAAACTGATGGGGGTTTTGTTAGCAGAAAATCGATGCAGCAAAGAGGAAGAGAGAAGGGTTTGCAGTCTTGCAGTAAAAAGGTAGCTTGTCTTGAAAAAGTCAAGTCTATTTTTGCTTGGGCATTGAAGTGCTGAGTGGGGAGGGTGGTGGCGTGAATGGTAGGGATCAACCTCAGCTCCCATTTGTCAAACAGTGATAGGGTGCTGCTGTAAACAGAGTTAACACAGTACTGTATCCACGTCAGGACGGCCCCCCCGGGCATACACAGGGTTCTGTCTACTGTGAAAACACACAATATCACATCACAAGCTCTGTCAGGAAACTTTGAAGAGGAAAAACAAAAGATCCAAAGAGACACAGTCTGGAGGACAACAAAATACAACTTTAAATCCCAAAGAGCAGTGATAAAATAATAGCAATGAGCAGAGCAAAGTGGGTTGCTGGTATTATTTTCACGAGTCGGTGTGTTTTGAATACCGTCTATTTGTCTGTGGACAATCGGGCAATATGCAGTCAGTCACACATTTCAGAGGTGTGTAGATGAGAACAATATTTGAAGATTGCCGTGGTCCAGGCAAGGCGAAGACTTAAAATGTTGGACTCTTATGAAACATGAGCATAATGCCTTATTTGTGACAGGTGTTGCATTTTGGGATTGTAATTATCATATCTTTATTGGAAAGATGTCATTGCGGGATTGTTAGTAGAAATTAAGCACATGCTGTTAACACTACTTCTTCTGTTCCATTGTGTGGATTTTTTTAGTGCACTATAAAGCCCCATACATTTCACATGGGAAAGAACCATCTTCCATTGTTCCGGCTTGGGAGCTTTCCTGCATTATTCAAACATTTTAAATGCAAAGCTAGCCTTTTGTACTCACAACAAATTAATGGCCTAAATACGCTTTTGGATGTCATTACATTTCTTTAGTGTAAGGATTTTTTTAAATCAGCTAATTTAAGTGAATAACAGATAATAATGGGGTTTTCTTAGATAGTGATGAGTGATTGAGGCAGTATCTTACTGTACATGCAGGAAAAGGTGTGCTCCTGACACTGTTGATTTTTATATAATTTATAAATCCATATTATCGTTGTAGAGAGATATGATTTAGTTGTCAGCTTGTCCCAAAGCGGGCCAATCCAACACTAACATTTCACATGCTTCACATCTGAATTATTGATTGTGTTATTGCACGAGAGGGCACAAATAAAGATGTTTTTTAATGCTGTTATTTCCCGTATAGCTGCGGGACAAACTGGCAGAATAGATTTGAGTCTAGAAGGATATCTGCACATGTTCTCATGTTAGCAGCAAATCACATGGAAAATACATAGTTGTAATGATTAATCTAAAATAAAAAAAGAATATGAATATACTGTTGGTTTATCAATCATTTGCAAGAACATAAAGTGATGTAAATGCTTACTGACCCAGACAAAACGATTGACCCATAGATGGATTAAATGGCACTACAATCAAAGGGAAATATTTGGATTTGTCCTTACTGTAAATGCAGCGTTCATAGATATAGATATATATATATATATATATATATATATACTCTGTTTTGGTAGCAGTCTACCCACCAATTGTATTCATATTATGTGATAAGAGTTCATGAAAATAGCCGAAATGAACTCTGAGACTGCACAGACCCAAAGAGCATCTCATCATGTCCAGTGTTGTTATCACACTGTTGCCGTGCACATGCAATCCCCAGACCCAACTTTAATCTATGTAATGAGACTGGCCATATTCATGTTGCATCTGTTCACTGGTAATTCCTCAGCAGTGGACTTGACGCCACATGGCAGAGTCCCTTTAGAGCCAGAGCGAGCACAGTAGAGTGAGATGCTGTCTGAAAAGTGCCGGCCGTTCATACCCTGCCGCTGGTCAGGAGGTTAAAGTAAGCAATGAAACGCTCCAGCGGCTGCAAGATCTACAGTAGCCACCACAAAACAGAAAGGAGGGTTCCCCAGACAGTGAGTCACTGCCATTAGTCTTCTCTGCACTGATGACCCTGCTTTAAGAGAATCCCACAGGGAGGAGTTTCAATCAACCTACAGTAATGTTATTCACACTGTTTTCTAACCCAGCTGAAAGATCTGTAATGTCCGTATTTAGGACACTCACAGAAGAGAGATGAATCCTTCTGCCTTTCAACAAGCCATGCCTTGCCTTTGATTCACAGCATATTACCAGGTCAGGCACTTGGTAAAGAGGTGGGAACAGGAGGGGATGATTCTGACCCCATTGTGACAGCTCGCCATCTTGTCAAAGATGCAGAAGCAACATCAGGATGTAGAACCAATTTCCTAATACAAGTAGTACGGCAGATATCATGTTTAAACCAGGAGAGGAACATTTTAAAGCTCTATGATGTGATGAAAGGCAGGAATATCAAATAACTATTGTTATGCTAATTTTAAAACTGCTGTTATCAATATTTCTACATAAATAATGGATTGAATGTTAAAGGGTTTACTCATTTCTACGACACATGAAGGGTTATCAACAACTAAGAAAGTTCCCTTCAGCTCAGCAAGACAGTTTATAGCATCTTTTATATCATTATTTTGGTTTAACAGCTACACAGAAAATGTTGCACCATGTGTAGCCTTTTTAAATAGGGACACAGTACATTATGATATATTCAGTTGCATATTTATTAGGTAAATTCAGATAAAACTAATGCCATCTAAAACAAAAACTCTGCCTGTTGGGAAGGCTATAATGATCAGTTTTTGTTAAACCTGTTTAAAAGAGGTATTGATGCAGTTTAACGATAATTTTGGAGGCTGCCATTAATTTGTCGGTTTATAGCTTCTTTGATAACCCCTGTACTGGACATACAGTTATTCGTTTTCATATACTGTATGTGTGCGCTGTGCTGCATTGTCACTAGAGTGTGATAATGTATGTGGGCTACAATGCAGTCGTAAATTGCTGAGACACAGTTATTTCCCCCTATGCACTCAGAGACAGCAGATGCCCCTGCACAGCCCCGAATGCTGTGTTAGAACAGAACGAATTGCACTTCAAGAACCAGAACGCTTTACAAAGGGGGCCAAGTCTTTGTTTTAGTATGTAAAGGCCTCAGTGTACTGCACCATGCCTTAAACTTAGAGCTAAAGTATCATTCTGAGGGAAAATACACCACAATTGTAGTCAGTCTTCGGAGGATTTGGAGGTACATTCACAGAACGCATTTGCCCTGCAATATATTTAACTGGTTGTCAGATAGGCTCTGCTCTCAGCCAGCTTATAATTGGATCTGCAGCAGCAAAATCTATATGCTCTATCATCACAGAAATGTTTCCAGAATTATTGTATATTAAAGCAAAAGCTTATGTCTTTCGAGTTGTATATCACTATATCCATCAGTGTGATGGACTCATTCATGTGTTGAGACTTCATACTCTACTACTACAATATAACTACTCAAAACTATGGGGGAAGTTTTCAGGTTACGCACCAATTAACACATTTTACCTAACCCACCATAAAACTATGAGATGTCTTGTTTACACTTTGATTTTTTGTATGGATTTAACAAAAAGATCTCCGAGCCAGGCTAGATTGTTCCAACTGTTTCCACTGTTAATGCTTAGCTAGGCTATCCTGCTAACTATAGCTTTATATTTACAGTATAGACATAAAAGTAATATCAAACTTCTCTTAGCGAAAAGAAAATATGAAAAAGCATATTTCTCAAAATGTCAAATTATTCCTTTAAATCCGTAAAGTATATCTTTAAGCCATCATCTTTCACTAATGGTGAAATGCACTTCAGAATATTACAATGACCTATTTTATGGTCTCTGCTTAACAGCGTGTATCATGAAACTGCAGCACATAGTTGACGATTGGGCAAACAACTCAAATATCTCTGTCATTGCTGGGCTTGGCAACTAAAGAGATTGTGATCCTGATGCTGCCTAATTTAAAAGTTTTAAACTGAATCTGTTACAGATAGAACTTTTCATAATGTCTCAAGATGACTTTCCTTTATCTTTACCATGTCAACAGTTGTCTTACCAGTGTACTCTGGATCCACATGAGGAGGGTAGAAGCGGAAGTTGATGAAGAAGGGAATAGGCACTCCAAACTTGAACCACTCCACCACATAGGGGGGCTGCTGGCCGTCCAGGGGAGGGGACACGTCACACCCCAGGATCACGCTCTCTCCGGCGCGCGCCGTCACAAACCGGGGCTCCTCTCTCACTCCGTGGGCACCTGGGACGAACAAGAAGTTTACCACAAACAAGAAAATTAGAGGTTATCTCATCAGGGCTGTGGTCTGACGTGCTAAAGCGCAAGAGGCCAGCATATTCTTCTGCACGCTAAGCAACAACATCTCATTGAACCCAAGTCATTCAAGACTAATTGAGAAGCAATGATTGGGTGTCATTCAAAGGCAATTGAGCCAACTACTGCACAATGGATTACAACTACATTTTGCTTCAGAAACTTTGAACATGCACATGGTAGACCCCATGGTCATCTGTCACCTTCATCTGTTGGTGAACTTTGTGGCTGTGCCATACTGTACTATAAATGAGCTGCCGAGGGATCCCATTGATCATCGCTGGCTGCTGCTCAGATAAGCTTTACTATGAGCACCACCAGGCCTGGCGATTAGCCACCGATGTCCAGGCACGCTGCCGAGCGTTGACCTATCAGATGACTGAAAGGTCGGCATACCTGCCTCAGCAGAACTCTCACTCTGGGAATGGATTTTCTCCAGCTGCCACCCCCGCTTTCATTGAACCGGCTGTATCTCCACCGTCAGAGCAAGCATGGCTTCAGCTCACGCCCAGGGGGGGAAGAAAAAAAAATCGCTTCGGGGATCAAGAGACATGCTGACGTATCACTCCGGAGAAACACCAGCTGAATAACTTAACGCTTTCATTAGCAGCATCATTTGCATTAGCAGGGCACATTTTTACAAGAAGAGCACACGTTGGGACCTGGAGGTATTATTGGCTCAAGCAGCACTAGTCTGTAATGATGTTTTGCTACTGTCGTATGGAAATGGTATGATCTGCGCTTTTTCAGCTGTGTACACTGCAATTAAAACCCAAATATGTTCACCCAGTTCTTCTGGCTGAAAAATAAAGCTTTAACTCCAGCCCTGCAGGCCATATGCATCACTTAGAGATTGTGTTTACCAGTTTAATCTGCATTATCCTGCGATAAAGTTAATCCACTTTATTCATTTCAGCAAGCACAGATTTTGGATGGAAACAGAGCAATTTTAATCAAATGCCGCTTTTTAAGTGGAGATGTGGTCTGCCAGTTAAGGCCCTCAGACCTGGAATATACCTTGCTATTTTGCCTCTTTGCCTAGAAATGACAAAGTTAGGCTATGCCACTCTGAGCTCTAATGAGCAAAACCTAGCAAATGAAGCTGATGTGCATGACTCATTGAACCTGAGCCTAATTACCATACTATATCAAACAAAATAACCACAAATATTAAAATAACAAATGCATCAACAAATACAATGTAAATGCTGTACATGTAAGAGATCTCATAAGGGAGCTGATTGACAACTACAAGCCACAGAGGCTGTGCCTCTACTGTAACTTCATGTACTAATTTGGAGTGTCTAAATCATGGTGGTAATAAAGCAGCATTTTTCATTAAGATGAAACTGAGGGGGAGGCAGTGTTTGATGAAGCACAGTGTAGGGTGTCAACAAGCATAAAGACTGCTGAGACTGAACGAGAGGGGAGTTGATTGTTGCAGAAAGATGATGCTCTGCCCTGCAGCCTTTTAATACACTTCTGAGGAAACCTGTCCCGTACAGTAATAAGCAACAAATAATCAAGAATCTGCTACACCTATCCTTTCAGGCTTGAAAAACACTCAAAACTCACCCCTGAGCACATTTATAACATTATAATCAGTGAATCCTCATTGTGGGTGTCTTAAAACAATGTTTGAACAACTGTTGTAAATGTTCAGGGAAACACACACGTGCGTACCTGACCAAAGGTGTTGAATAAGACATTATGGCAAAGCCTTTACGAGTGTCTTTTGTCTTTACTCGTGCTCAAAGGCTTTCAGAAGGAAGCAGAGATCAGGCTCCCTGAATGAAACACACTGGACACATTGTTTGGTAGAGTAAGTAGAGTCACTTGACATGTGGCACAGGGTCACACCATGTGGCACAACTGTGCATTAATCCATTGTGTTTTTCTGCAGACGCTTCAGGTTGCAGAAGTTTAGAGGCTCAGGTTCCTGGCTGGCATTATATTTAGATCTGGGTGGCAGTGGGAGCACGTCTTGAACAGAGAACAGACTTTTAAGACTTGAGATAATATATTGGAGGTGCTAATAATTCTCCAATGCCTTTATAGGATCTTCATGAGTAGACAATCAGCAGAGGTTTGGTCACCGCTTTTGCCTTTCTAATTTCCTAAATGAAGACACGGTGACCCCGAAGGGCTTATGGTGGATTTTTCAAGGGAATTATTTATGCTCTCAACAACTCATAAACGTGATACAAGCGTCCATGCTTAAGATGTTCTAACTAAACAGGACTGTAGATATAAAAGGGATCAATACAGTTAAGAGATGATAGCAATTAATGATTGCTTTGGCACTGTAAATGTAATCTGAAGCTGAAGCCCTCCAAATACAGAGGTGGAAATCTGTTGAGTAAGATCTGCATAAATCAGACGGCTAATAAATCCAGGAGAGCAATATGTTTTATGTATCTATACTCTGCACAGAGTGGATTTACTGCTATGATCATGAATTCCTGAAGGCTAACAATTCAGTCAGCTGTCAGATAAATCTTCCTCCGCGGCAGCCAGTTCATGTACAAAAGCAAAATACATTCTTCATTGTTTAATAGGTTAACCAGGCAGTGCCACAGCCAGTTTGATTATTATAGTGTGATTATTTTCTAGATTTATAGTTTAGTCTAAAGGATGTCAGAAAAGACTGAAAACTGCCTGTAAATGTTTTTTTTAAGCAGGCAGGTTTGGTCACACAGTCTAAAATCATATAGTCATATACAAGTTTGTTAAAAATGTCTCATATTTTAAGTTTTGAGAAGTGAAACTATCAGGTAGTTTACCAAAATAAATAAGTCTAAAAAAGCAAATAATTCCAATTAATGTAACATACATTTTTCTTCATACTATATCAATTCAGCATCTTATGAATATCTTTTATTTTATAAATATTACTGTCTTATATATAAGACCTCATGGGCCTATAAGAAACCATAAATAAGTGTTCAAGAAAGTCAAAGTATAAAGAAGCTACATAAACATCTCTGATAGTAAAACCTTCAGACCAAATAGTAATTGAGAAATCATAATAATGGAAATAATCCATCTAACCTTCACCTCAGCTCCCATAAATCTAAAAAGGCACACAAATCTTTATTAATCCACTCAAAAGTCAAAGGTCAACTAAACATTCAAAATTGGATTGGCCTTTGTCAAATCTAGTTCTTATATTAGATTGATCATGGTTGTTTTATTTCTAAATCAATTATTCGGCTCAACCAGAATGTGTGCTTTCAAGTACAATAATGAGACAATACATTTAACCATTTAGTTTGTGTCTCAGGTTAAAAAAGAAAATAGAGATAAAAATGAAAACTAGCAAATCTTCGCATTAGAGGCTGGAATAAAAAAAAAAAAAGAGTATTAGGTGGGTTGTTTTAAAAAATGTTATTATCTGATTATCAAAGCTGTCACCAAAGAATCCACTTAACATTACAGTTCCAGTGAGAGCTTTGCTTTTGTAACAGCTCACTTGGTGAATATTAATAATAATCTTTATTTATAGAGCACATAACCAACAGGGGTTTTGCTTTACAAGATACATCTTAAATATTAGCAGAGTCCAAATGTCAAAAGAAAGCATTAAGAACTCAGAGTAGCAGCCAAGACAAATGTACTGATACACACAATGTGATGTAAGAAAATTATAAACAAATGAGAGATATCTGTTTGAGGTCAATCAATATCTGTGCAGACATGAATCATCGCAGCAGAACAGAGAAGGGACACAAGCAGCAGGAGATTCAACTCTGAGCTTTCACCTTGTAACATTGAATAAAGATGGCTCTCCTACTTTCCCTTTCAGTAATGATCACAGGTCAATACAGTCAAAAAGACCCTGAAGGACATTTTGGGCGATAATCAAGCGGATCCTAGCAACATTTTTGGACAGCAATGACGTCCAATAACAGACTGAACAATATTGCGAAAACATAAAAAGCGAGGGAGATCAATGAAAAACTATTTCAGACGAGCAGTGCTAGATTTTTCTCGGCTAGGGTTTCTTTCTTTTTTTACACCAACACAATATCTCACCCGATAAAAACTTAAATCTAATATTTACTTCCTGCTCGGATTTGATTCAGAGTATGAGCGAGAATAACCATTGCTCACTGCAGTTAGAGATTTTGAAAAGGATACATCATGCTGTGTGTGTGCCCTCACAGTGTTGAGGATGTGAGCGCTGCTTTATGCCGGACAGAGCTCCCGATGTGGAGGATGTAATGGAATATAGACTGGACCGAGGCTGGAGAGAGACTCTCAAGGACGTACAGCCACTGGCTGGATGGGCCACTGACAGGGCGGTAATTGAATGCCAGCCTGCATGTGCTGAAGGTCACATCAGAGAAAAGCCTGTGTGTGTGTGTGCGTGTGTGTGTGTGGTATTCAGATCCTTTACTGAAGTAAAATAAGCAATACCACACCGTCAGAATAAGTAAAAGTGGAGTATTGCAACATTAATGTGTAGGTCTTATTTTACTTCTATCGATGTTTGAGGATGTGCTAAGTCAAACTGCTTATGCTAGTTTGATCTACAGCAATGGATAATCTTCTATAGGATCAAGTGGTGGCAGAAGTAATCATAGTACTGAGAACAGTGTAGAAATACTCTGTTAGTAAACTAAAGTAAAAGCGCTACATTCAAATTGTTTGCAGAAAAGTTCAACATTTGTTATCAAAATATACTTAAAAGTACAAAAATTGTTGCACAATGGCTCATTTTAAAACTATATAATTGGATTATGGATGCATTCATACATCACAATCATTGTGAATTTCACCAAGGGTTTATTAAATCTCACCTTTATTCATAATAAAACATGTGATTGTAATTTGTTGATTATATTAAGTGTTTTTATCTCTATTGAATGATGACAACAATAACATAGTGGTTATGGAGGAGACACAAATGGATGTCTGTGTGTCTG